CTGAACCTATCTTTGATTACTTCAGTCAAGGCTAATCTTTCTATGATTCCATCCTTTAATGAATTCCTGGATACCAATGTCAATGGATATTAAATTATATAGTATAAATATTAAATTATATTATAAAATAGATTGATAATTTATTTATATTATTAATATATTTTTTAAATAAATATTGTTAAATAATAATTTTTTTTTTTTTTAACCTGCAATTATGTCGAAATGGTTTGTTTTTATTAAGATACTTGAAAAAATATCAAAATAATCTGCAGACCTTCTTATGTGATAACTAACTCATTTTTATATATTATTAATTAAAGGATTACACTATTTAAAAAATATAAGGTGTTCTCTAAGCTAGTTCGAACTAAATAAAACTAAGTTTCAACTAGGTACTCTAAGTCAAATTTAGGGAATAATATTACATTTTACTAGTAGCTTAACATAATGCTTTTAAGTTAATCAGAGTCATTGTCAACAGTTTATCATTGTCGATTATCTCAAAAAATGATGAATTGCTGAAGTTGAACTGAGAAAGGGAAAAAACAAAAAACAATTTAAAGCCTTTCAAAAAATTCTTTATTATTTCACAACCTCTTCTTAAAAGAGGTCTTGCCTAATTGGGATATTCTTCTTTACTTTATTTGGATCTTGGAAGAAGTTTTTTTTGTTACTATCTATGGTATCAGATGAGTCTTTATTTAAGTATACATTGGATTGGGATAGTCCAAGAAAAACTAAAAGATCTTGGTTTTACCTTAGAAAGCCTTTTCACTATTTGAGAAACTTAGAGAAGGAATGGGATTTGTTTGTATAAATCCACTCCACTTTTTTGGTATTATAATTATTTTTTTAAATAGAATATATACAGTTGGAGAGGAACTTTTTCTAGAACTTTCTTTTCTATATCCCTTATAATGTGATAGGAACACATAATTGCAACCAATAGGAGCTTGTTTACTTTTCTTGAAACCAATATGTTTTATATTAGCCAATTATCTTTAGTAAGGATTTGTGCTATTCAAAATTCAGAATCAAACTGAAGTAGGCAAAATTCCTCAGAAAACCATGAAAGTAATAGTTCTAAGAGATCCACAAGTAACTGGAAGGGAAAAAAATAAGTCTTTCTGTTATAAAAAACCTCTATATACCTCTAGTTTCAAAGGTGGAGAAGGCTTTTATATACTTCACTATTGATTCTTTTTCCTTTGAAAACTTTTTTGCCATTGGTATTAAAGGTATTACTTGACTTGTTCTTGATTATCAGAAGTCAGGTTTTTGATCAAAAAAGATTGTAAACAAGTAAGAGAAGATAGAAATGACTCTTAAAGTCACTCTTCAAGGAGTTTTAAAAAAATATTAAAGACTTTTTAGCAAAGAAGCAAAAAACTTCTTGCAAATATTTTTTTGTGTGTGGTCAGAGAATCAGTGAAAAAAATTGTATATATAATGATTTTATTGTATAAATGATATTATATTAAATAAATATTTTTAATTGATATAAATTTTTAAAAAAAATTATAATATTTGATAAAAAAAAAAAATAAATAAATGTTTTTTACTATAAAAATCTTTTTATAGCTTATTTTAAAAATTATAAAAATCAATATATATTTATTTGAACTTTATATTATTAATTTTTTATAAATATTAAAATAATAAAAAATCTTAAAACTATGTTTTAAATTGTTTTAAAAAAGTATTTAAACTTTATTAATCAAAAAATTATCAAACTTTTTACAAATATATTTTTGTATATAATTAGAACATCAACAAAAAAAGTTTTTTAAACTTAATAAACTTTATAATCAAGTTGTTTAATTAAAATAATAATAATAATAATAATAATAATCTCAATAAAAATATTGACCTAAAGTAATATAAAGATATTAAATAGAAGTTGTAGTATTTATTTAATTACTTTTTGAAGAAGACTTGAACTGCTTCCTTTATCATTTTATTGTTTCTTTCTTCCTTTAATCCTAGCAATTTATAATTTTTCAGATCAATCTATAGTGATAAATTGTTGATGATGATCCTAGTAGATAAAGATAAATCCAATTTAACTAAGGGAGTATAACAAAATTAAACTTAGAGTACCTATGTATGAAAATGAGTTAGTAATGTGAAAATTTTAATTATCGTAAATTTCTAATAAATAAAAGACATATCAGCATAGCATGATTGCAGGTTAAAAAAAAAAAAAAAACCAAAAACATTGACTTAAAACTAAAACTAATATAATATAAACAAGTTTTTCACGTCATTCTTGATTCATTGTAGTGATTTTGTATGAAGTCACATTCAAAATAGCAATAATAATAATACAATAATAGTATTTATTAGTGAAAAGGGTTTTTTATTATTCGAATATTGTTATTATATTGAAAACAATATTATTTTTAGATGTTCAATATAATATGATTAAAGAGTCTATCTTACATTCCAGAGTCAAAATATACACAAAACGATGTCGTGCCTAAAGAATCGTTTTACACCAATCATCGTAAATCATAGAAAAAATCCATATTTTACAGGCTAAACTATTTTCTCTGCAATCATGCATAGCCTTGCTACAAGACCGGAAAGTTGGAGATAGGTGGATACACCCTCCAGGATTTTCATATGAGTGAATCCGATTTCCTTATAAATAATAAAAGTAAGTTTGTAATATGTTTGGAGTTTAAATCAAAGAGGTTACATAACTAATTTCGACTTACCTTTATAAAATCCATCTTGACACTTTCTGAAATATCATCGACAATCTTTACAACACGAAAGAAAGTTGTAACAATGTCCACTGCGCTATATCCTTTTTGCCACAAGTCCGATAATCCGGTTATCGCCTCGTCTACTTTATAATTATAACAATTTAAAAGAATTTCTCTCACAGAACCAGGATGTGGTTGATCGCAAACTTTATATACGTTTTCCGCATTTACATAACCAAACCCGGAGAAAGTAGATTGTAGATTGTTAACTGCTTGTCGCATATCACCGTCAGCGGTAAATATGATCGCTTCAAGACCTTCGGGACTATACTTTACCTATTGTGTCATGAGAGTCGGCTTGAGTACAAATCATTTAACACCTCAGAAATAAATTCAAGGTAACTTACTTTTTCCAACTCACAAATTTCCATTAGTCTCTTCAAAATATCTTTTTCTTTCAACTTACCATATCTCATAATTAAGCATCTACTTTGAATAGGTTCGATGATTTTCTCAGAGGTATTACACGCCAATGCGAACCTCGTCGTATCAGAATACATCTCCATAATGCGACGAAGAGCTTGTTGAGCACCTTGTGTCATACTTTAATCACAATTTTCACGACTTAATCTCATGCAAATGTGTGTGATCGATGGTATACGCGTTAAAAGAATATTTAGCGATTAAACCTGTCAGCTTCATCCAGGATGATTATCTTTTTCTTTCCAGGAGGCAGATTGACCTTGGTTTTAGCAAATGTTTTGATTGAATTTCTAACGACATCGATACCTCTGTGATACAAAAAAAATATTCATCGTTAGCCACGTGCAAGGTCAGCAAATCAATTATATGCATTTACCTATCATCTGAGGCATTAAGCTCCAACACGGCTTGTTTCATGAGCTCACTACCTAGGGTTTCGCGTGCCAAACAGAAAATAGTAGTTGTCTTGCCTACCCCGGGTGGACCCTATTAAAAAGGAAACTAATATTAATATCTAATAAGGTGTAAGAGTCATGAAAACTATTAAAACAAAAGTTTTATATTACAGCTAACAACATATGATGACTAATTCCGTCTGCCGCGCAACGTTTTAAACCATGTATGACCCCCTCGTTTCCTATAACATCTTTCAAATAAAGCGGCCGATACTTTTCAACCCTATATTTTTTTAAACACCATCAAGAAGTATCCATTACTGCCGGCTGCTATTCTGGAAAAAAAAAACACGTATATATACGCGTACCAGGGAAGTTCTGACGAAATATGATCTCTCTTCGCCGTGGTAGACATTTTTTCGTCTTGGTCTAAATTATATAGCACAATAAGAGGAAATTGGATAACTAATTTATCCATACCATATTTGGGTGCCAGCGTTCACATGATATATATAATCACGTGAATTGATGAACATATTTCAACTGATTGGCTGTCTGAAAATCTTTCATACTTTATATACGTAAGCACATTCACAATATATAAAGGTTCATATCGTGAGGGTTTACTACAAAAAAAAAAATGTGGAAACCTTCAATCACTGGTACAAATAATATCCCTCTGGGGAAACGTAGGATAGGAAGTTCTTCGGAGGAAAGTGAATCAAAAGAGGATAATACGGAAAGGCTTGAATCTAAAGTTGGGAACTCTCTTAAGAGATCTAAAGAAGAGGAAAACGATCATGCAGGTATAAACTAAAATTATTTTTCAGTTCGTTCTATCCACCTTCCTTGTAAAGGGAAACGTAAAAAGGTCTCCCTTACCATATATGAGTTTCATTTCACGTCATGATCCAAAAGTTTTATTGCTTTAATTTTTGATTTGCATAACAGGAAAAATTAATAAAATCACTGACTTTCTAACAAATGATGCTTATACTAACAAAATGTAAAATTGCGTTTCGTTATTTGCTATTCATCTAAAATTTTTTTCCCATGAAAATAATGTCGCTCCAAAACCCGGCAACTAAATGATATTATAGACATATTTGTATTTTTGCGTACCAGGCGGTGGCGGAATTCCAGCAGTAGTTTGTTGCCAGGGCGGCAAACCAGCTGAAACTGATTGAGAAACTCCGGGAGGAATTGATGACTTAGACCACGGAGGAGCAGCCAAAGAAGATGAGGCTTGTGCGGCCCACGGAGGTTTTGAACCACTGGATGGCCCATAATGCCCCTACAAGAATAAAATTATATTTAAAGTAACAAAAAAAAAAGGTAGGCGCAGAAATAATTGCAAGCTTACTGTTTTAATGCTAGGATCATTGGCCCTTGATGCGTCAATATTCTCACCAAGTTCAGCCATCAAGCTCAGATATTCACTATCCAATTTTTGATCCCTCTGTTTGGCTTGTTGCAAGGCTTCCGGATTGTTTCTTTCCATACAATCCCTTGCCGTATGCCCGTGACCATTGCAAATACGGCATGTAAGATTGATGGTAATATTTTGAGTTTCGCTGCATTCATATTTCCGGTGACCGGTGGCGCCGCAGTTAGTACAAATCTGGTTCTCATCATCTCTGAGAGTACCGTTGAGGGCTGCTAATTCTCGTAGTTGCTGTCTCTTGAGTTCGTTTTGTCCTTCCGGGACAGATGCAGACTAGATATATAGATATGTAAAAATAAATAAATAAATAAATAAAATTTTTAGTCAGAAAATAATATACATAATCAGTTCGCAAGCAATCTTACCGTTTCAATTATTTTATTAATCATTTTGACTGCCTTAGCGACTTTTTCTTCGGCATCAGCAGTGACCAAGCAATGCAGATCTTCTTCTTGATTGGCATTAGCCGCAGCGTCAGTTCTGCTTTTGCCCTCCTTCACACTTCCTCTACCACGAATACTAATCTTAGCTCCAGATTCTGCTTCCATTTTTTTAAGAGTATTACCGCGAGGGCCGATTAACAGGCCTATAAAATTTATTTCCGGAAATTCCTTCGCGGGAATGTAAACTTTGTCCTGCACCTTGGTGGGTCGTTTGTAATCTGCTGGAGGTTTATACTCGGGGTTTCTTTTAACAGCCTCTTCAATCAATTTGTGACGTTCGTCTTCAAGTTTTTTACGATACCGATACTCGCGGGTATTGACACGTTTCCCCTGAGATACAACATTCTATTCCTTTTTTTTTTTTTTTTTTTTCGAACTTAATAAAATATTACACATCGGGTTAATATAATTTCAATAACTTCTGCCAAAAAGTGCATATCGTGTTGCGTATGCATCACATGCTATACACTTTGTTTCGCCAATCACTATGGCAGGCTCAGTTGGTTGTTCAAAGGGAATGCATAAAGACTTTGCGCCCATGGATGGTGCTTTTTCATCCTCTGGTTCTTGTCCAGTATTGCTAAATGAGTGACAAGGTTCACGATTAGTAATTTGAATTCACGTATATTCCAACAAAACTAAAAAAGACAAACCTTCGGGAACTTTTTTCTTTAATTCCATCTTCACATTTTTCCTGTTCACACCATGGAATGAGGACTACATTTTTACCATCCAAAGTTGGCACAAAGTCTTCCCATTTTAACACAATTTTAACATGATCATCATAGTTCTTTTTTGCCCTTTCAAACATGTCATTATGAATAATGTTTAGAATTTCCGGGACACGAGTTGACAGTTGGGACAGGGGAACTGGTTCTTTTAAACCAGTGTCACGACGAACTGACATAACTTGCTGTCCTGCCAAATCACGGGGGCCAATCTCCAACCTAAGGGGAACTCCCTATATAGATATTGTCGAAGTCAGTAACAAAAAAATTTTTAGTAATAAGTCAGTCAAAGGTTTTTCGTAACATTACCCTCAATTCCCAATGGTTAAATTTGTATCCTGGGGTATAAGTATCCCGAAGGTCGGCTTTTGCCCTTATGCCTGCTGATTTCAATTCTTTAACTATTTCATCTACTTTCTCATCTATTCGTTTTTTATCCTCTTCAGTAGTTTTAACCGTCAAACCACAAGGGACAATAACAACTTGGACTTGGGCAACCCGTGGTGGCAAAACTAGACCTTTATTATCACCGTGAATCATAACCATCACCCCAATACTTCTCGTGGTTATTCCCCAAGAATTTTGCCATACGTGCATCTTCTTCGCCTTGGAACCCACAGAAACGTTGGGGTCTTCAATCACGATGTCAAACATCTTGGAAAAATTCTGCCCCAAGCAATGAGAAGTGGCCGCCTGAATTCCACGCCCAGTTGTCGGGATGAATCCCTCAACAGTAGTTGTGTAAAGACCGCCAGCAAACTTTTCTTTCTCTGATTTTACTCCTTTAATTACGGGAACCGCAAGTAGGTCTTCATACACTTGACGATAAAGCTCGAGTATTTGAAGAACCTCCGTATCAGCCTCCTCTTTTGTGAAATGAGCCGTGTGACCTTCTTGCCAAAGAAATTCACGTGTTCTGATGAAGGGTTCTAATTATATAATTTTAGAATCGGTTACTTAAACGACTCTTTACGTCGCCATCACATTATACCATCTTTGGAGGAACAAGCTTTCGATGAAATTAACTTTCAACCGTTAACATTAAAATTGGCGACTCCTCAGATATGAAATAATGTTATTTAAGATAATAATTCATATTTACACGTACGAGGATTTTTAAATTCCCATCGAACAACATTACACCACTGATTGATCTTTAAAGGTAAATCACGATGGGTCCGGATCCACTTCGCAAAATAAGGATACATCACTGTCTCGGAAGTAGGACGGATTGCAATAGGGTTTTCCATCTCGGAAGATCCTCTAAATGAAATTCCAGTCAACTTTAACCATGATAATTCTCAACCTATTCTGCAATTGATATACATACGCCTTAGTAACCCAGGCAACTTCAGGTGCAAAACCTTCAACATGATCCTTTTCTCTTTCCAATTGTTTTTGCGAAATGAACATTGGGAAATAAGTATCTTCAACGCCCAACTTTTTGATTTCCGCATCAAAAAAACCTAAAAAAAAAATGAAAATAAAACATTAACATTTAAATCGACTAGCATTTCGAATTATTAAAAAAAAAAAAACACACTCTGAATTTCCTGCCAGATGTTGTATGCTAATGGTCTAATTATATAACACCCAGACACTTCCTCATAATATTCTAGCATTTCTGCACGTTTTAGGACCTAAGACATGTTGAAAACATTATTTCAAAATCTAAAGTCATGTCAGCTTATTTAAAATCAACTTTTTACCTGAGTGTACCAGGTAGAAAAATCGACCTCCTTTCGAACCTCAATACCAATTTGGGCGGCCCCCTCGATATATGCTATGCATCAAGTTTCCAATATAAATAATATTTTTTTTTATTCGTAATTCAAGAAAAAAAAAAATCTTTTTTATTTTTACCATCATTCTTCTTCGAGTGTTTAGATTGACTAACTTAATCAAAATCAACATTATAAACTGAAAAAAAAAAAGTTAATGACAATGACCTTTTTAACATACCTCTTTTTAGTCTCACGAGCCTCGGAATTTGACATTGTGAACTTTCTCAAAATTCGCAAAATTTACAACGGATTTTCGCCTTTTGTTCGAAGTGTGGAAATGACTCATTTTGACTCATGTTCTACTACTATGGCGTTGTGTACCAAACAAATGCCTATCAGTATAGTTTATTTATTTTAAGGTTTTTTTTAATACAGTATAACGTCAATCATCATAATTCTACCATTTAACATCTATTTTACAAACTATTTTTTATGTTGAGCAAAACAATAAAATCAATTTCATGGCCAGAATTCAAATTTTCCTATCCCTTGTGGCTTGAAAGGAATTAATATATCTAATAGTGATCACAATAAATCAAATCAATTTGATTTGATTTTTATAAATATGAATCGAATATAAATTTGATTCATTCTAAATTAATTTGATTTGCTCTGAAACTAAAATAATTTGATTTAAATTTAATTCAATTTGATCTAAATTTGATTCGATTTAATTTAATTTGAATTTAATTCAATTTGATTAATCTAAATGCTGATTTTATTTAATTCAAATCTGGTTTAAATCATATTCAATTATTACTACTTTGATTTAATCAAGTTAAATTAAATATATTTAAATTAATCAAACTTTATTTTAATAAAAAAAAAATCATTACTTTTTCTACTAATCCTCTGATCATATACAAAAAAGATGTTCATAAGAAGTTTTATACTTTAAGGCTAATAAAATCTTATCACTTTCTTTAAACCAACTTAAAAATAAGTTTTTCAAGAATCACTTTACAACTCCACTATCTCTTTTTATATCTTGCTACAAAAAACTTGTCTTCTAATGATCAGAAAGACAATTTTATCCTTCTTATTAATGGCAAGAAAGTTCTAAAAAAAAGTAGACTTGACTTCTCTATCTCTCTTTCACTTGCCATAAAAACATTACAGAGTCTAGTTTGTGATAAAAGACTCTTTAAAAGACAACTCACTACTCTCTTGTTATTATAAAGGTTCTAATAGTACTCTTTTATAGTTTTCTTTAGAAAATTTTATCTACTTTAGCTTGATCCTGAATTTTGAGTAGCACAAAGTTTCTGATACAATGATTGAATAATGGAAATACATTAGTGACTCAAGACATAAACAAGTCCCTATTGGTCACCTCACATATCTAAATGCATTGCTTCAGTACCTATAAGAATCTGAGCTTCATCATAAGATGCAAGCCAATTGCACAAGTAGCTATAATACATAAAATCTATCATATTATTGACTATATAGAAAGAATAAAAAAACTTGAATTAGGATTCATTGAATAGTAAACAATAACTCTTTTTTACTTCTTTTTCCCTTTTCCAGTATACACAATCAGAGAAAAAAAATTACAAGATATAGGGTTTTTTAGAAGAGTTTTTGATTATCTGGTACTGACATATTGAAAAGACAATCTTCTAATTTGTTAAGTAACTGTTTGATCTCTCCAAAATACTTTCTTGATAGTAGCATAATATAAAAAAATTTTTGATTAGTACTAGTGGAGTTAGGATTCCACATAAAAGATCCCTAACATCAGAAGTGATAGGTATTATAGGTAAATTTTTGACAAATTAGTCTCCCCTCCTTATAGAATCTGAGGTAGCAATAAGCTACTTGATGGATCATGTTTGGTTATATCTCTAGGAAGTACCTAGTGTGATTATATAGATAATATAATAAAAAATTTTTTACTTAATATTATTCCTTATTTTGTTTTAATAAGTAGTATACCTATACTAAATAATTATATAATTATCTTATTCTGATTGGATGAGACATAAATAATTTACTCTCTGTACTATTTATTTATAAATCCTTAAACCGTATGGATAATTATTTATTTTGATTATTCCTAGGTATCATTTTGCTTTGATAAAATATGTTTATTATAGTGCAAGAATGAGCTAGTATTAAAAAAAAAAAAAAAAAAAAATTTTAATAAAAAATTTTTAACTAATATATTTACTTTTAGAAATATTTTTTGACTTTAAATTTATGTATATATTTAAATTTTTTAAAGTATTTTTTAAATTTATATTTAAATAATTTTGTTTTTATTAAATTTAAATAAATATATTTATTCTATTTAAAATTATTCATTTATTTCTACATTAATATACTTTCTGTTATAATTAGTATTTTCTAAAACAATATGTTAATCCTCAAATTATGTAAAAAAAGACTTCTGATAATCAAAAAAAGTCAAGTAATACTTTTGATACCAATGGCAAAAAAGTTATCAAAAAAAGAAAAACTGACTATGAAGTATCTGAAAATCTGTTTAATTTTTAAAGCAAAAGGTTTTTAGAAATTTCTATGATAAAAATATTTATTTTCTTCCCTTTTAATTATTTTAATTCTCTTAAAGCTTTCACTTTCATGATTTTATTAGAATTTTGCCTATCTCAATTTAATCTTAAATTTTGAGTAATATAAATCCTCATTAAAAGTAATTTATAATATGAAATATATAATTTTTTAAATATAACAAGATCCTATTGATCATATTTACATATTCTAATAATATCATTGGTGATTAAAAAGAATGTTTCAAAAACATTTGTCTTTAAAAGTCAAAGTTTCTTAATGAATATTTCCAGAATATTAAAAAATCAAGTTATAGATAAT